GTTCGTTCTTATCGTCTCGTTCCTATTTAGCAAGTTGATCTTACCACGCCGTAGCTCCAAAAATGTTGAATCTTGTTGCATCGAAGTGCTCGTATTTAATGGCTAAAACCATGTGAAAGTTTCTTTTATAAATATATATTACGCGTGTTATTTAGAAAGGATAAAGGAAGCACTTTCGTGAGCACTGTAGTGAAGTACAGTGGATTTAAAAACGTACGTAGAAGTGACTGTTTGTAGTATAACGCGAAATTATTATATTTTGCAGAGGTCGTGAAGAGTATAATGTTCGTTGTGTCCTAACATTGAGGCCATTTTGTACGTTCATAATATTTTCTAACTACATTTATGTGGTATGTGTGTAACATTTATATACGTTTTCAAATTTTTGTTAGCAAAACGAAAGTATTTCAGAGAGTTGTGCGTGATACATATCGGCCGGCTGCTAAAAATTTCTCGCAAATATTTAATTTTCATCATACGGTTACAATAAAGAATTTCTAAATACATTTTATAATATCGTGAAAATTTTTTTTTAAAAACGCAGCTTCGTCGGTGGATAATTTAAATTGAAATTGGAATATCGCTGTGGTCAAACATTTTCAACAACATCTATATTCTGTAAAATAATGCCTGTGTGAAAATTTCCTACGATTGAAATGTTACTTGAGAAATGTATTTCATTCTCTTTCTTTCTTTCTTCTCCCCCTTCCGCAACCGTTTTCCCTTGCTCGTGTCCCAAAGATACGATCGAAACGCGACCATCGATAACAATCTCGCGTGCCATTTTATGGTGCGTTATTCGAAACGAGCGAGTGAGTACGCGCCGCGAGAGCCGTAATTTTCGTCACGTTACAGAGAAGCTCGATATCGCCCGGTGATAAATACAGTCGTCCACGTACACCGCAGGAGACGCACCATTCCCATCATTCTCAGAATCACCATGACCATCCCATGCACATCAAAAAGATGAAGAAGGAGCAGGACAAGGACATCGGTCACGTAAGTGTTTGCGCTGCGTTATTCTTCTTGGCCCGAGCCAAGACCATTCTCAGCTGCTTTTTTCTTTTTTTTTTCTTTTTTTTTTTTTTTTCGACCCAGTTTCGCTCGCGTTTCTTCAGAAAAACATTGCGATTCTAAGGGAAATGGAGTCGGCAGTCGGGAGAAATGAAAAATATACATAGGACAAAGAACACGTCGGAACGATTTGTTGAAACTGTAGATTACCTCCGTACGTTGAAACACTGGTTGCTTTTTGCTCGAAGAATTTTTTGCTTTGAAGTCTCGATCAATCGCGGTTCCCAGATTTTCAGCGTTTGTCACAACATTTTGAAAACGAGATCACGCAATTCTTTTTTCGATTAAATGGATTTTACATTCGAATTCCGCAGAAAAAAAAATGGAATGGTTGACATTTTTCATTCTTTTTTTCTTTTTTACTTTTTATTTTTTTATTTGAATTTTAATTTCAATAGGCCGGGAAACGAGTTTGTTTTGATTTATCTAGATCAGAATCTATGCAACTATTTTTACGCAGATTTCTGTTCCCGGAATTTTGTTTCAACAGAAAGTGATTCAGTCGAATCGCGAAGAATGTGAATCGTTGTTCCTTCGCCTATCGCGACAATCGGTCGAGTATCTAATTTCGAATCGTTTATCAAACGATCGTAAAGTTACGAGTTAATTAGCTGACGAAATTGGCATCAGATATCGTTATAATTCCAATGCTAATAAGGCACGAAGGAAACGTTGAACCGTGATTGAGACTCCAAACAAGATAACATCGATTAGCCACGCCAATATGTGACTCAAATACAAATCGTGCGAAGCTCAAACACATTTCAGCACGAACAACAAACTTTCGACGAGTTTCGTGATAAAACGGAAAAGAACATGCGTCGCATTAATTTTTCGCCAGACATGTGAGTTGTATTAAAAGATCACTTTAATAGACTCAATTCACTATACATGTCTCTATTCACACATATATATTTTTTAATTATTAATCCCTGAAGTCAATTTTTATTACAACATCATGTATACAGACAGTATATTAATTCGTCAAATTCGTATAAATCTTTTCACTTAGTCGATTATTAGTCTGTAAAATCAATTTTTATCACAACGTTACATTTTTATTAATCCGACGAATTAATATACTGTTTGCACATATGATATCGTAATAAAAACAGTATATAAATTCATCTTTTTACTTGACAATCGATGCAATAGAACGATCATTTATATTGATACATTTGTACCGACACAATGAAGAAGCACGCTTTTTTGTATGAATATCTACGGACATCCTGTTTTTCTATAACAGGAATATTCGAGTAAATATGTTGAAAAAAAAAAAAAAAAAGAAAATTTAAGACGTGTATTAGAGACATGTATTAAGAACGTGAATCCTCAATTTCCTATGTATACGTTCAATACCAAAAATCGTTCATCTGTACTAAAGAACAGTGCTAAAAGACACGTAAATATATTAAAAAAAAGAAAAAGTATTAAAGACCGTATATTAATACCTTGACCGCCGCGTCACTCATATTCGGGTGACAGTCAAGTTTCTGTCGGAAATATTTAAATCTTAAGGCAAGAAGTAGTATTTGGTAAATGATATTTAGTATGGAAAAAGGAGTTTCCAACAGTAAATAATTTTTTAATTAACTCAAAATTAAATAATATCGATATCAAATGACGATAGAACAATAATATAGTCAATTTTTAAAATTTTTTTAGTTTGTACTATGGTAGTTATTTGTGATATATTGAGAAACATTATGGGACACGTAGATATGTTAAAAAAAAAAGTATTAAAGACACGTGTATTAAGAATCCTGAACGTTGAAAACCGCGATCGCTAATGGAAAAAACGGAGGCCGAGCGTGAAAAATAACCTGTCGATCTCTACCCCCTGTGTCTGCAGAGTGACGGCGAAAAGAGTGATCAGGATCTGGTGGTGGACGACGCGAGCGAAGGGCCGACGAGTCCGGTTGTAAACGGGACGACGTCGCCTCGAGAGAACGGCCTGGACAAAGTGGCACCAATCGGCACCGGCGTGCAGACGAAGAAAGACGTGCCGCCACACTCGCCGCGAAGCGGGACCAGCAGCAACGCGAGCACACCGTCGGCGAAGAAGATGGAGGAACGTGAGAAGCCGACGACACCGATCTCGAAGCCTCTGACACCGACCTCGGGCTCGGCGATCAGCGGCGGTTTGAAGCCATCGGGGTCGGCGAAGCTACTTCAGGGACCACCGCCTCCAGGCGTGCCGAGCGCGTATCCGCCGCACTACGCTCCCGGGCCACCGCCTCACCATCTGGCACCACCCGGCCAGCATCCTCACGTCGACATGATGGGCTACAACGGCTACGTGGCGCCTAGAGCACCACCTTCGCTCCAACAGCTCTACGATCCCCACGTGGCTATGAGAGCTCCGATGGGATCGGTCGGAGTGCCCGGAGGCAAACCGTAAGTGGACATATGCACACACTACTTTCTACTTATGGTGTACGGAATATCGATTCGTTCGAACAGTCATCGCGCGGATTTCTGTCGCAGGGAAAACCTTCTAACGTTGATGATAATTTATGTTATTAATCTATGAGCTGTAAGTAATTAAATCGGACGGGTTTCATTCCTATGTAAATGTTTACGATGATCTTGATTTTTCAGCGAATACGTCTGATGTCGATGACATAGATTTTGTTTGTTATTTCCACGGATTTAAATTGTACTCATTTGTATTTTCACGAGATTTTATTCATCATTTTCGTGGATTTGAATTATATTGATATCACAAATGATTAAATGGGTTTTTATTTCTAAATTTGTAAATTTTATTTGTATTTTTGTGAGTATTAAACCTTTGGGAAAGACGTCTGATGTTAATGATTTAGATTTTGTTCGTGCACATAAATCATGTTAATATTACAACAGTTAGGTGGATTTGACAATAACTTTCATAGCTTCAAATGGCGACCATATATCGATTATAAAATTTAGTAGGATTGAAATATAACTTCTGGTACGATATGCAACGTTGAAGAAGTAATTAGTTTTACGTTTGAGTATACTGTAGATTTTTATGTAAATATATATTTTTATCAAGCCAAGAGTGGATTATTTTATTTCCGAATATTCTATTTTGTGTTGTCTTCACACACAGTTTTCGTAAATGTAGAAAAAGTCTAGTCCCCGCAGTCTAGTCGTAACAAATATTTGAATATTTTATAAACAATCTCTTCCCATTAAAACAAGTTAAAATCTTTGCACAAATTTCGACGTGAAGACGTGGAATGAAACTTAGAGCAGGTAAAACCAAGTGACATGGAGCTGTTTACCTTCGAGATAGATTATAAAAATTCGACAGAGTGTTTCGCGATAAGATAATTCGATCAAATCTCCTTAAGCATTTAATCTAGGGGATATTAAGAGAAAATATTTGACACAATTACTCGTCGTCATGTCGTAATAATAATCTTTTCGATCGATAAACTCGAAATCGTACATTGGAAGTTTCCAGCTGTCAATTTTCAATTTACGCTCCTCTGGTTGTATTTTTGTAAAAAAAAAAAAAAAAAAAAGAAAAAAAATTTCCTTTCTTTTCACACATTCCTTGGCGAGCAAACTGTGTAAAATTGACGCACATACATTTTTAAATGAAAGATCGAACATCCATATACAATACGGTTTTGTTAACGTTGTTTGATATTCGGTTTGCTTGCCAGCCAGCCGGCTCGTTATCTACGCTGTTCTGTTTGCTATGAAAATTTACCAATCCGGTTGTTTATTGTAACGGACGGACGGTTAAAATACGATGCGCTATCGATATTTTTATTTTAATGCAGATGTCAGTGCCGCCAGAGATTAATGTTCAAGATAAAGATTGATAGAATGTGAAATTTTGTGTGCAGAATTGTGTGTGCATAGCCTATTTACGAAACGCGTTTAATACACTTACGCTTGAACACGAGAAAATCAATATTTCTCGGACGTAAGCAGCATTTCATTTGCCTAACAGGGATAATATACGAGGAGAAATCTGAGAATAATTGTTCATCGGAGAAATCTAGAAACAATTGTTAGTGTTGAAGCTCACAATCAGATAGCTTCGTGAAATGAAAAAAGAAACCGCGTTGGAAACGTTCTCCAGCAAATCGCGAAGTGCTTGTAACAATTGTACAATCAAAATATACAAAAAAAAAAAAAAAAAGAAAAATTGAAACGTTACTTTCAAATTAAAATGTTAAACTTTTTATTAGCAGGACGAACTGATTCGGTAAATTCGGAATGTTATGACTAAAGGTACGCCACTTTTTCATGCTGATAAGAAGTCTTAACGGCTCGATCACGGTTGAAACCTTTTACTATCATCCCCGGTCGACGACCTGTTTTGTTTAACTTTCTCCAAAGACGGTTGACCTCGTGATCCACCACGCAACGTGAATATTTGAAAATTAACGCTATCCAGATCCTAGCGATCGAATTACCACAATCAATTTGATTGGTAATCAAGTGCAAGTCTATAAAAACGTTAGATATATACCGATATGCGTTAGACGCGATGATATACACCGTTCTGCTTTAAATTCAATCATTAATTACGGCGAATGTCCCATTTAACGTGTCTGCACGAAATTAAGTTTGCTTGCGGTCAACCCGATCGAGTCAGTCCCAGTCATAAGTGAAATTCGTTCAAAGGAATTTTTGTCGTTGAAAAAGAAATTTCATTACCAGTGTAACGTAACAGGAGCGTTGTTCGAAGTGGTTTCTTTTTTTTTCTTTTTTCTTTTTTCGACTTTCTGAAAGCCTCGAGCAAGAAGAGTGCCGCACAGTTTACACGCGGATCGATCCAATTTGCCTATATCTACAATTTAACGGTATTAATTAATTAAATTTCACCATTACTCTATTAAATGCTCTAAAATATTCCTACGTTAAAAATCATGTTTGTCATAGCTAAATTATGGCCGAACGTGAACGATCCATTTTGTCCATATACACTATTAATTAATTAAATTTCTCAGTCATTACAAATACCTGCATGCTGTACGTTTCTTGTGTCGATCGT